GATCTTCCTGCATGTTTGTTTGACCTGGATTGCCATTCAGACTAATACTGTCTAAAGGTCCAAAAAGACCTGATAACAGTTGCGTCTGCCTGAATCCTCAGCTGCTGCACTGTGCTGATATATTTATAAGTGTGGGATACTTATGGCAACAATGCATGCATAAAGGGCCATCAGGGTTCAAATGCAGACAGATTGCACATCATCTCTGTTGGTTGCTTGGTCTTCTTCTGATCCCTACTCTAGATGACATGTTGACATTTCAATTCAAAAGATGTCAGATGTTTCGCAGAGGCTATAATCTAGAATAACAGAAGACAGCACTACCATTTAATTATCTCATTCAATCACAGCAAAAATAATGTGTTTTGCATATCTTAGCCCATATGTGTTTTCTATCAGTCTACTAAAGTGATGATAGAAAAACTATCAAAAAATGATAGCAGTATTTGAGATTACAAAATAGAAAAATTAAGCTAACAGCACAGGTAAAATCACACACACAAAAAAACACTATATTAAAGGATTAAACAGGATTATGCTGCTGAGAGTAAACAAAGAGTAAAGTCATCTCACCATGATGAAATAAAACGGATTAAAACATCAAACAGAAAGAAAGAGAAATTCAAAAAAGTGCCAAGAAATGGGGAATAATAATAATAATGCATGGCATAAATGTGAATATCAAATCAATTCACTGCTATATATTTATCTAGCTCTGCATTAGTTCTAATATTGTCAAAATGATAAGTTAAAAAATTATTTCATAATGTTATAGCTTCCATTTGTACTGTATAACAGTAATTGCCATATGTATCTTACCGGGGTCCTTTGTTATGATAAATATTATCATGTTTTCAAAGTTACTATATTTCATCTGTGTCTTCATGTAATAATAATGATGTTGCGTGGTTTCTTGCACCTTGTGTTTGTATTACTTATTATTGTCCAGAGCCTATGAGCCCTATCTTTCAATGAATGCATGGCGTGCAGGACCGGTAGTGCGTCTGTGTTTCCTAATTTCCTACCTGCGGAGTTACAGTTTTCATGACATGCGCATCACATTGCCTTTTTACCAAGCAGCAGTCTGTTGACTTTGCACGAGCTGGTGTGTCCAGGTAAATTTTGGGTATGTTAATAATATAAGGGCGCACACATTGACTGGGCCACTGCCCAGCACAAACCAGGTATGTGGCCAACAGTCAAATCCTTGTTGCCAGTTAATGGGCGCTTCGACTGTGTTGTAATGTGTGCTCATGATTTGGTCCAAAAGTGGCATCCAGGAAAGGCTGAGCCCTTCAGGATCAAAGATGGGCCGAGGACCGCCAGTTTGACAACATATGTATGTGTGAGGAAATTATTGAAATGTTTCAAAACAATGTTCCTCAATAGAGAATGTGTGGCGCATTTTGAAATGTAAATTGCATCAACAAAGAACCAGGACTGTTGTGCACCTTAAGACTTGTTTTCAGGATGAATGGGACAAAATGACACCTGACACATTTCATCACTTGTTGTCCTCAGTCCCTAAATGTCTTTTAAGTGTTGTGAAAAGGAACAGGAACATCAAATCAGAATGAAGTGATTTTGAACAAAGAATAAAATTGATGAGGTATCACATCAAATAATTAGCTGCTGTGTTGTTTTGGAATGTAATACAGGACAGATTTACAAATAAACTATTTCTAATTTTAAATGCAGTTCCAACTTTTTCTAATTTGGGGTTGTATTTATGATTTCAAATAATACCTCCTACCAGTGGTAATTTCATCTTTTTTTATTTTTTGAACAAGGCAAGATTTGGTAGCATTAGCTTTTTATGGTGTTTTTTAAAATAGTTTTTAGACTTTTTTCAGTTTAAGTATAAAGGTATTTTTGGCCCTCTTATTCTTTCCTCCTCTCCTGTTTTCTTTGCATTCCAAAACAAAGGAATTTGTCTGTCCTTTTGCCCCAAAGGATTTGACTTCAGACTGTTTCACTTATAAGAGGAAGAGAAACTTCGGGGGCTTGGGGGTGTTTTGCAGTCATGTCCCTCTTCCAGCCGTGGCTGACAGATGAGAGGGAGGAGGTCTCAGGCCTTTGAACAAGTGATTAATAAAGACACTGGAGAAGGGCCCTGATCGGTTGGGCTGTTTGTTTTGATTGCATTTTCATCGGTTGGTGTGCCCAACCTGCCAAGAGACAATGGCCATCCTGGTTTAGTGCTGACCTCTGCCCCAGTCTCGTCTGGAGGCACCGCACTGTCCTTAAGTGGACGCTGAACAGCCTTTGCCCTAGGCTAACTGAAAAACTCTCTGAGAAACCAGACACCCAAAAGCAGACAAAACTACCAGACCAGGGATAAACCTATCTATTTGAATAGTGTTTCAATAATATAAATCTGCTTAATATTATGAAAAAGGTAAATTATTAGATTTTTAAAAATTAACTTCTAAAACTAACCCTAAGTGACCATAAGATGTTCAATAATGAAGTCAGGTTTTTGTACTTATGAGTTTCCCCTTTTGTATTCCCCTTTTCACTTACAGTAGCTCTGTCCTGTTTCTATGCTGCTGTCATCATTTCAAATATAGTCTAAAAATGTACTTAGTAACAGGCTAAAGTGGACATGCTGTGTCTTTTTGTGAAATGGTCTTGCTCTTTGACAGTGCTTTTTTAACACTATCAAATAAGTTACAACATACAAGAGTGCAGGACATAAATAGAAATAAACATTAGCTTTACTCAGGTAAAACTGAAATGGATTTATAGGCTTACATTTCTAAACATGCTGAACCTGAGAAGCACTCTTTATGATTATATTGTGTAAAAATCAAAATGGAGTTTAACCAAGCAGAGGTCAGATGACACCGGACCTGTTCCACCTGTAATCTTCCTCTCAGTTTTTTCATTTTTTTCTTCATCCACATTGTTATGGTCTTTTTCCAGTGACTAGCATTTTATCATTTGTTAAGCTCCAGCAGGTCCATGTTCAGGATACAACATTATTCCAAAATAAATAAACTTGACCTTAAAATCAGCAACCGTATTTCTGCTAAGGCTTACATTTGCAAACACCTGCTTTTTATCTGGACACAAGACGTCACACACTTTCATCACGCAGCTCTTCAGAAACTCTCCCTCGCTAAATGTCCGGGCTGATTTTCTCCTCCGCCACAATAAAACTTGCTTTCACAGCAGCTTCACTGTGTGATTTCGCTTTGGTGAAAACGTCTGCTGTGATGTCAGATTCCTCTCCAACTCCTCTACCTTCTCTAGCGTCTGCTCTGCATTCACGTTTTTCAGCTTGTCCTGATGTTTTGTCTCGTAGTGCCGTCTTAGGTTATATTCCTTAATTACAGCCACGTTAGCTCCACAAATAAGACACACGTGTTTACCAGCAATGTCAGTAAACATATACTAAGCCTCCCACTGGTTTTGAAAGGCTCTGTTTTCCAAATCAACTTTTCTCTTGGCCATTGTTAGGGGCTAGCTTTGACTTGAAATTAGGGTTGTATACATCAACAGACGCTTGATTGATCTGACGTAATTGACACGGGAATAATCGCAGGTAGTCTATCGTTCGGTAAGGCAGCTGTTGTGCTGCATTATGGGATTTGTAGTTTTTGTGTTTTCAGCGCTTCATATCACTGGGCCATTAAAAAAAGATGTATAAAATGATCTCGTGGGCCGGAGGTAATTGTATGCCAGGCCGGATGTGGCCCGCGGGCCTTAAGTTTGGCACATGTGGTGTACAGAAACATCTGTGCTGAGTACAGGCTGGAAGGCCCAAAGTCAAAATGGGATACACCTCCAAAGGTGGTTGAGAATGACCAAGCTATGATCCTGTGGGACTTCAAGATACAAACTGACAAACTGGTAATGATCAACCAACTGGACATAGTAGTGGTGGACAAACAGAAGAAGAGGGCTGTAGTGATAGATGTAGCAATTCCAAGCAATAGCAACATCAGGAAGAAGGAACACGAGAAGTTCGAGAAATACCAAGGGCTGAAAGAAGAGCTAGAAAAGATGTGGAAGGTTAAGGCACAAGTGGTCCCCATAGTAATAGGAACATTGGGGGCTGTGACCCCCATGGGAGAGTGGCTGCAACGGATCCCAGGAACAACATCAGAGATCTCTGTCCAGAAGAGTGCAGTGCTAGGAACAGCTAAGATACTGCACAGGACCCTCAAGCTCCCAGGCCTCTGGTAGAGGACCTGTCCTTGAAGGAAGAATATAAGACCATCCTGAAGTGGGGGGCAATTGGGGGATTTTTTTAAAATTATTTTTTATGCAGTATATGTACACACACACACACACACACACACACACACACACACACATATATATGGGTATATATATACATATACATATACATATACTGTACATATACATATACTGTACATATATATATACATATATATATGTACAGTATATGTATATGTATATGTATATGTATGTGTGTGTGTGTGTGTGTGTGTGTGTGTGTGTAGGTAGGTAGGTAGACAGGTAGGAAGGAAGGAAGGAATCCGATTTCAAAGAGAATCCACTGGGGCAAAAGTCTAAATAAAATTCAGGTCAAGGAATATGCCTAAAATGGTTTTTCAGTAGCTGTATCACTTATCTAGAACAAAGAGAGATTGTGTTTGATAAAGTTGTTGCAACATATAAACTGTATCACAATTGTAGCTATAAGGATATATATTCATATATGGGAACTCTTTTGTAATATCGTATATCGATTTGACAAATGCCAAAAACCAAAAGCCAGCTTGATTCTACTTGTATTCTCGCGAGAATCTGGTTGCCGTGACAATTAACTAGGGCACGGACTTCCACCTAAACAGAATTCAATTACTTTTACGACGTAGCGGGTAACATGCTAGTTTTACATTTTTTTGTCTCCAAGAATATTTGCAGATTAAATATACTGCAGCAACATACTTCATAGTAATTGTGCAAGAAAGATGCTAAGTCAAGGTAGAAATTAATCCAAGGTGAAGAGAACAGAGCTAAAATTACCGTAGTTTTGCTAGGCATCCATATTGTAACGAAATTAGACTAATTCTTGCTCTAATGCGTTAGCTAGCTAACAAAACTAAAGTTATTAGATAGATAGAAACTTTATTGCAAACTCAAGGTCCAAATTCTGAACAATAAAAAAACAACAATAACAAAGAAAGCAATAAAAATATATAGCTAGACGCACTTAACTTTAATTAATCTCTGTAAATTACACAAAGAAAAAACGTAAATGCATCTTGGCAGATATTTGGCTTTCATGTTGCTTTCACTGAATTAACGTGAGCTAAAATTTTCCTTGCAGACACTGGCTTCTCTCATTGATGTTAGTGAAGTTAGCTGATATATTTGATTTCCTATGTCTCATCATGACCTAATTAAGATAATGTAATTATACATTGTTAGGGGTTTGATTCAAATTGGTGCCTTTGAGTTTGAGTGTATTTGGTCTGTTAGAAATACAGTAGGGATTCATGTTAATAATCACAATTAAATACATTCAACAGTGGGTGACATAGTTAATATGATGTGAAAGTGTCCATGTCAAGTTATAACATTTTTTTTTCTCAGTAGTAGTAAATGGTTGCTCTGCCTAAGTAGCCAAAAAGGTAAACATGGAGCTATTACTGCAAAAAGCCTCTAAATTGATCTTTATATTTGAATCAGGCCCAAATTGAATTATCTGGTTTCAGCCCCTACATTCCCATTTTCATGTTTAATTGAAAATTCGATGTTAGTTCTGTACTCGAGACTTCTGCCTGCATAAGTCAAATTATTTGCTTTATTAGATATGCCTGTATTTGTAAGTTAGGTATTAATATCATTCATCAGGCAGTGTAGGGGAATTCCAAAACCTAAAATAGTGCCAGCTTCAGATTATGCCCCCCAAGCCCATCCAGCTGTACACATACCAGAGGTTGTAGCTGTGCTATGATATAGACTGTGGGGGGAATTCCGCGTGCCTCAGTCTGCAGCATGTGCCACTTCAGCAGAGGCTGAGCTCTGAAGCAGGTGTAATGTTTCAGGGTAGGAGGTCAAAGTGCCTCTGTCTGAATGGTGCATAATCACCATTATGTGTAGTACAAATATTCAGTATTATGCAGGCTGACTTCTTCACAATGGAAGTGCTCCTCATGAATGACTGCCAGCAGGACTCCTCCTCCTGTTTTCTTCCACTGGTTGGGTGGCCAAATCACAGCCCTGTGCATCAGCATTTATGTTGAATATTTGCTGACAGTGCAAAAACTACTTATCAAAATAGTTGTGCCCTTTTAAAATGTCATCCTTATAGCTTATTTGGAGAACGGTCATAAAAAAAAAAAAAGTGAAAATAATACTTGTTGATTCTGTCTCCTTGCAGACTCAGGGACACTTCATCCTGTTTGTCTTGGAGAGAGAGCTCTTTCCTCACCACTATGTCCCAGAATCAGTCACAGACAGCTGACTTCTTCAGCCAAGATGTATTCAACCAACTATTTGATATGCTGGACCAGTACGTGAATACTACTGAAAAAAACAAACAACTGGTGCACACTGGTTTTGTTGTGCTACAAAAATAAATAATAACTTGCAGTTTTTTCAGTGTTACCCATCTCTGTTGTTTTGCAGATCTGCCATTCACTCAGTCCAGCCAATTGAGCTGAACTTCACAGAAGGTCCAACAGATGGGTCTGCAGGAAACACCATTCAGATCAGTATGGACTGCATAACCATGCATGAACAGGATGAGATGCTTTCTGTAAGTACGTAGGTTTGCTATTTGAGGAAAACATTACATTTTCTTTTTTGTTTTTTGCTAGCAATTTCTCCTAACTCAGACTTACCATGAACAGTCATGGAAATAAGTAAAATGACTAATATTCAAAATGGCATGAACCTCAGGTTCACATGACCCAGTTTACCTCAGCATATAGTTTTCTATATTAAGGAACGGAACCTAAAACTATTATCCCTCAGTGTAAACTGAGGAGTAATCATTTTGTTTATAGAAATACACTGATCAGCCACGACATTAGAAGCACTCAAAACCACATTAGACCTAATGTTGTGTAGGTCTCCCTTGTAACTGCAAAACAGCTCTGATCCGTTGGGCTCCACAAGACACGAGAAGGTGTCCTCTGGTATTTGCTACTTAGACGTGAGCAGCAGATCCTTTAATCCTGTAAGTTTTGAGGTGGGGCCCCCATGGATTGGACTTTGTTTTTCAGCACAACCCACAGATGCTTGATCGTATTGAGATCTGGTGAATTTGGAGGCCACAACAACACCCTGAACTTTAGAGGTGAGGGAATACTGTTGCCATGATGGGGTGTACTTGCTCTGCAACAATGTTTAGGTAGGTGGTACATGTCAAAGTAACATCCACATCCAAATTTGAAGGACCCACACACTGCCTCTGTCAGCTTGTCTTCTTCCCATAGTGTTTCTGGTGCCATCTCTTCCCTAGTTCCCTAGTTTGGTCCTTGTGTAAGAATCTGAGTGACTTTGACTTGTCCGTTTTTCCTGCTTTCAACAAATCAGCTTGAAGAACTAATTATTAATTTGCTGCCAAATATGTCCCACCACTTGACAGGTGCCATCGTAAAGAGAGTCTGTTTTTCCCTTCACCTGTCAGTGGTTTTAATGTTGTGGCTGATCAATGTAGATTTAGGCAGTGATCTTTTTGTCACTTATTTATGTTACCATCTAGTAAAGCTGTCAGTTTTATGATGTGTGACCAATGCATATACATAATTAAAAAGATTATGTCAAAACACAGAGCGTGTTCCCTAAAGTCATACGGAATGCTCAAATTATTTCCCAAAAATATTATGGTTTTATTGTATGTCAGTTTTTATTCTGTGCACTTTGTTGTGGCTTTCACTCTTGAGTTATGGGACTTCCAGTGGTAAATTTTCATAAGTTGTATGATAGCAAAATTGCCAGCTACTTTGTTTTGTATTAATAATGGAATTTCCCGAGGACAGTTGTAGAAATGTGGTGCAGAGCAGCTCAACAACCAGTGAATTATCAGCTTTTGTCTGACATGTTGTCTGTAAGGTGATGATATTATCTGGTTTAGACTGGGTCATTCTTGACCTGGGTGGCCCCTCTGATTATCTGTTGAATGTAAAATGTGCGTTTAGACAGTCACATGCTTGATGGTGTGAAATCTTTGGTCAGGGAGCGGGGACCAAACTGGATTATGAGCTTGCTTTTTGTGATAACATAGAACAGACATACACATAATAGTGCAGTTAACTAAAACACTGAAAATCCTTTGTGGTGTTAGATGTTAGGAAATCAATGCTGTGTATGAACTCCCTTCTATTTGACCTGTAGGGAGGGACATATCTTTGTCAGTTCTGCTACTGAAAAATGATGTGCATGTTCTCCTCCCAGGATAGGAATGTTGTTGTCCAGCCAGGGCGGGGAAAAAATAGCAAATAAAAATTTAGTTCAAGGAGCTAAGCAATGTTGCCCTGTTTATCCCCCAAGGGGGCCAGTGCTCTCTTGCAGTGGTGAGTAATGGCCCCACCCCCACCACCCACTTTCCTCTGCACAAAACAGGAGCGTGGTGTGGTGATTGGCACGGCAGCAAATCAGGCAGCATCGGCGTGTTGCTAAGAGCGCTATGCCATGGCGGCTTGCCAATCACCCAGCCCCCAGCATTATTACCAAGTCTGTTTTGTGGGCAAAACCACCTTCACCCTACCCCCCTCTTGCTCTACCCATGTGGAGGTGTGTCATTAGAATGCAGCTCAATGTTTAGTGCCTTGGGGGACTTATTTGTATTGTGTAGGGTTTATGTTTAATCTGAAATTCCTTTTTTCTTCTGGTTTTTTTTTTTCTGTAGCTGCAGGGCAACAGTTTAACACAGCACCTGCCTCTTGCTGAGGTCCCAGCTCTCATCTATCAGTACATGTCTTGTATATGTAAAGTGGGGGTGGCGACAAGAGGTGAAGAGAGGAGCAAGAAGAGGGTAGAATAACATGAAGGAATGTAGCAGAAATAGTGGCTAGAGAAATGCCATATCCTACCCCAAACAGCTGACTTTACACCCAGATAAAGCTCTGATCAGCTGTGCGTGGATTACGCACTGTTGAGCAGAGGGACAGAGCTCATTTTCAGACTTGAGGTACTTTAAACAACTTTACAGCAGAGTAGCTCACTTGACCCACGACTTCTCTGAGATCTGATGTGTTTGGATTCATACTTTTTTCACCACACCTTTTGTGTCTTAAATGTAATAGCTGTTTCTCCCTAATTTACTGTCAGTGTAGTTTTCTACATTTAAAAAACTTGAATCTTAATGCTGTCACCTGGAAAGACTGTTTGTTCTTTGTCATTTTCAAAGCAGCGTTGAGTCATTACATCTACCTCATCTGAAAGAACTCTTTTACTGTAACTCTAAGGCAACTTTGTCCTTTGTCAGATTACTCAAGACATTGAAGAATGCTATACTTCGCAAACTACAACACTAGTTTTACATGCTTAGTAACAAGAAGCACAACGTTGACTTGGCTTCTTTGTCAGGACTGTTACTGTATTTAATCCAGAGTAGACTTGTGCATTTAATACCCCACCTTAATAAGCTGTTCTTTAATGCTCCACCAGTTTGCCTCCAGCACATAAAAACGTGTTTCTGTTAAGGTGTAGTACCAAAGAATGAGTGCTTAAACATGGTCTACATGAATAACTGTTGAGTCAGTAAGTGATCTGCTTGTGGATGTGGGGATGTGACAGAGAGAGCCCCTATTGCCATCATCTTATAATTTTTTCTACATCTTTCTTAGAGCTTGACAAGGCCTAGCTCTGCTGTTTTATAGCAATATTATATGTCAGGATCAACTGAAAAACTTCTGGGTCACACCCTTTTTGAGAGCGTGTGATTAAATCCTTCAGCAATAAATCTCATAAATGTCTTTTTAAAACACCACATACTCTATATGGTTTTTTTTTTTATATATATAATTTATAATTTCAGCAGACCTGTAAGAATTAAGATGCACTGGAGTATATTCACAGTTGGGTTGAAAAATTCAGGCATTACATTTTTTATATTTTACTTTGAAGTGAACTAGGTCACAGGACATCATCCAAGAGTATTATTTTAAGTGTTTTTAATTAATATTAAAAATGAAATTCAAATGTTAAAACTACTTCATGATGGGATAGACCTTGGTTACAATGTTTATTTGAATATGGGCCTTTTTGACCATATGTTAAGGAATTAAGAAGTCCAGTGATTTAAACTCAATCTAAATTTGGAACTAAAAATCAAAGGATATGGCTTTGTTTGAAATTTACTGTAGCATCAAATTCAGTTCAATGTTTTCTAATGTCATGATTTTATTATTTTAGTTTTTACAGGAAAATATTTTTGCCATTTACACATTAAGAACATTAAACAAACTTCTCATCTCTAGTTGTACAGCTTTTGACTATAGCTACAACCAGTGTTTTCTTGCTGTCTGAATAAATACTGTATATAAATTGTGCAGTTCTTAAGGCTTGTCATTGATTAGTGAGAAACTGTCTACAAACTCAACCCTGTTAGCTGTTTGCCCATTGGAAACCATTACTGTGCAGAATCCGTGGCCAGTAAACTAAGATTAGAAGCAGGTTCTTGGGTTCCGAGAAGAGTTCCTGTGGCTAATAATCTCTGACTATTTGCAACTCCCAATCAGAAAAAGTTGGGACGGTATGTAAAATTCATATTAAAATAGATAATAGTGATGTGTAAACCATCTGTGTCCTGTATTACACTGAAAACAACACAGCAGCCCATTATTTGATGCGACACCTCATCAGTTTTTTTCTTTGCTCAAAATAAACACTCACTTCAATTCTGATGCTGCAACACATTCCAAAAAAAGTTGGGACAGTAAAGCATTTACCAAGGTGTGATGTTCCTGTTCCTTTTCACAACACTTAAAAGACATTTAGGGACTGAGGACAACAAGTGATGAAATGTGTCAGGTGTCATTTTGTCCCATTCTTCCTGCAAACAAGTCTTAAGTGCACAACAGTCCTGGG